AAACTCTTCAAGCTGGTACAGGAGAAAGCACCTCAAGTCGGTGTCCTGTCCAGCAGGCTGTGGCTCGTATCGTTGGTTTTGCGTGCAGCCTCCCAGCAACATAAGCCTGGTTGATCAGGCTCTGATCCACCAGGAGGCCTGGTCCAGACCGAGCCGAGTGGGCGTTGTACCCCGGTACTCTCTCCAGGTAAACACCTGGTTGTTCACTCACACACGAACTCATGGTCAGCACCAACACCTGGTGCGTTCCACAAACGAACTCACTGGTCAGTCACAACACCTGGTTGTTCCACGACACTTGCTCACTGATCAGCCACAACACCTGGTTGTTCCACAACACTAACTGGTCAGACACAACACCTGGTTGTTCCACTACACTATCTCTCACTGGTCAGTCATAACACCTGGTTGTTCCACGACACTTACTCATTGATCAGCCACAACACCTGGTTGTTCCACAACACTAACTCTAACTGGTCAGACACAACACCTGGTTGTTCCACTACACTATCTCTCACTGGTCAGTCACAACACCTGGTTGTTCCACGACACTTGCTCATTTATCAGTGACAACACCTGGTTGTTCCACAACACTATCTCTCACTGGTCAGTTATAACACCTGGTTGTTTCACGACACTTGCTCACTGATCAGTCACAACACCTGGTTGTTCCACAACACAAACTCTCACTGGCCAGTCACAACACATGGTTGTTCCACAACACACTCACTGGTCAGTCACAACACCTGGTTGTTCCACAACACACTCACTGGTCAGTCACAACACCTGGTTGTTCCACGACACTTGCTCACTGATCAGTCACAACACCTGGTTGTTCCACAACACTAGCTCACTGATCAGTCACAACACCTGGTTGTTCCACAACACTTGTTCACTGATCAGTCACAACACCTTGTTATTCCACAACACTCACTGATCAGTCACAACACCTGGTTGTTCCACAACACTTGTTCACTGATCAGTCACAACACCTTGTTATTCCACAACACTCACTGGTCAGTCACAAAACCTGTTTATTCCACGACACTCTCACTGATCAGTCACAACATCTGGTTGTTCCACAACACTCACTGATCAGTCACAACACCTGGTTGTTCCACAACACTAACTCTCACTGGTCAGTCTAGGCCTTTTGTTTATCCAGATGCTCTTGCGTTACCCTCCACAAGATGGATATGGAGTGCACAATAAACTAGCCACTCCTACAGCAAACTGTAATGTAAGTCTGCATGTTGATGCTACATTATCTATAACAAAATTGCTTCAAATTAGTATCATAGCAAACAAAACTAAGGCTTCAACAATTTCGATCTCTGAATTATGATTAGATGAAAAAGTGACTAGTAGCGAAGGCAAAATATAAGCAACAACATACAACTTTCTGGTGTATGTGCGTATACAACAAATGAATCAACTTACAACCCTATGATTACAACTTTTGGCTTAACTTGTACTACGGTTATATGGAGATATGTTCTCAGGTGTTGGTGCACTAGACGAAATCCATCCATTTTGACTGAACAGAGAAAGTATTAACAGGAAGCATGCAGAGTCTGATGGAAATTGTCACCAAGCTTTAGTGATTGTCACCTTGATCCATATTGATTCCTCGGCACAGTAGTGGGGATGATTTCTATGTTGAGTAAATTTCACCTTTCCATCAGTGAGGAACATATCTGGAACAATATTCAGTGATTTTCTTGCGTGAGTTACAATGGGTTTTGGGTGATTTTATGTTGTTGGGAGAAAAAATGCCTTACTTATAGTGAAGCAATCTTTATCCACTTACTGAAGATATCCTCCCTGCCACTGGATCAAGCCTGGCGCGTACGCGCTATATAAACGCTAGTCTTGTTGGTGTGTCAGTCTCGGGATTAACAACTATCCCTGCGCCTGTTGCCCCCATCCCCTTAAGTTTCCGTGATACTTTTAACATAAGCTTCGGGTGGCGTTTTGGCAACCCGGCAAAACATTGTAGGTCACCTCCCGCACTTGTAGGCGTTGTTCCTCTACTACGTAAACAAATGGTGGCAGTTCACGGCTGTCAAAAGTTAGTCTCGCTATATTGCAAGGTTAGCGCCTCTGCCTGCGGGCAGGGAGTGTCAACTTTAATGATCGGGAGATTCTGGAGCTCGAGTTGCTCCAGAAAGTCTTCATTACACGAGAAAGTCGAACTGTACGCTAGTATGTGGAAAGATAATAGCTCCACATAATTAAAATTATTTAATTATTATAATCAAGGGAACAGCGCTAAACGGAAGATTATCAGCGCCTGGGGGTGGATTTTTGGAAAGGCATTCAGGCTTATTCAGGGAACTGAGCACAGACAATTCCCAAATGCAAGAGCCCTCACATACTCAGGACTTCCTTGAGGGTAATAGTCCACAGCCTAGAATTTTAAGGGAGTTGAATGCTTGTAGATCGTAATTGGTGTGTTGTCAACAACGTCAAGACGAGAAAGATTATGTGCCTGGTCTGTATTTTGTACTGCGACAACGCATGTGCCACTCTTAAGAACATGAAATAAGGAAAGTGTTCTAGCCAATGGCGAAGGAGCGCCTGCTGATGCTGTCCTTGAAAGATAGTCAGATGAGTAGCAGTGGGACAGTAAAGAATATTTTCAAGAAGGACTTTGAACCAAGGTGTAAGAGGAGGTGGAATGCCTAGTTGGCGTATTCTTATGAAGGCGTGAGAGGAAAAGAGTCATATGGTCATCAGTGACAAGTCGAGGTCTTTTGTATGGAATGTTAGAGGCAGGAATCCCGAGTGTGTGTACGAATCCGAAAATAGAGGAAAAAGCCTGGATATAGTCCAAGTTGTGCAGAGGTCAGATGTGTATTAACGGTCGGTCGGAACTGAGTACCAGGTGCGTAGATAACAAAACGTTACACCGAGAAGGTAGCAGTGAAGAGAGGTCGAAGAATGGTCCGAAGGCGTGCCTGGTCTGATACTCGGTGCTGCAATAGGAGTTCCAGAGGATAGAAGAAGGTCATGGTAAGGGTCCTCCATGGCTAAGTTTCCTCTTTTAAATCTTTTAAAGAGAAAGAAACAGGAAGGCGGGAAAGGAGAGCTGAAAATACTCCCAGAAGAATTGACCAGACATATTTAATTCTCACCAACAAGCCTCATTGCCGGCCAGCAGTGCAGAGGATGGACCTCAATGAGTAAAGATAGGATAACTACACCATTCCACACCTAGAGACAAAAGATGTGGGTGGTCCCAAAACGCCAAAGGCATTCCGGCTACCACTCCAGGAAATAGGGAGTCCAGAGGTAATGTCAAAAGGCATGTTAGCGCTGGAAAGGGATGGGAATAAGACCATAAGAACATAAGAAAGTAAGAAAGGAGACACACTGCAGAAGGCCTGTTGGCCCATACTAGGCAGGTCCTTAACAATCCATCCCACTAACAAAATATTTGCCCAACCCAATTTTCAATTCTACCCAGATGATCCAGATTCCACGGCAAACTACACCACAACGAAGGACCTCAATGGAGTAGGATAACGACACCCTTTCCCCAACCTAGGAGCTAGAATTTCAAAGGGTGAGACCCAAAAGGCCAAAAGCAGGAAAGGATGGAGAGGGGAGGGATGGAGAGAAGAGGAATGGGAAAGGATGAATGGGAAAGGAGGGAAGGGTAGAACGGGAAAGAAGGAAAGGGTAGAATGGGGGGGGGTAATTAGGTTAGGTCGGAGAAAGAAAGCCGAAAGGACCTATTCCTCAGACCAAAAGCCTCTTTAACGCTACAAAGAGCCTCCCCTTGAAGAGGCTCCTCTATGCAAGTTTATAGCAATAATGTGTTGGTAAACAAAGGAAAAAATTACACATGCTTTACATAGAGGTGTCATGTTCTCGACCGTGAGGAAAAATATTGGGTATTATAAACGCTTCTGTACCGTAATCTATAGTTAATCCAAAGCATATTGCTGTTCTCCATCTTGACACAAGTACCGTAAGTATTTTTCCCGATAAGCCAAAGATTCAGATTGGCTAAGATAATCATAATCTAGATCGATATCTGGAGATTAGTGTCTGGTTCCTTCTTCATCCACGGTGTCCAACCACGAGAACTGTCAGCTTGACCCAGTCTCTGTTTTCCTATAGTGACCTCCCTCAAGGGAGGCTTTTTGATGCTGGTGAGGGGCTCATGTTCCAAGAAATTAGATTGCCCTCCCCTTCCTTGGATCGAACCCGATTAATTTCCATCCACCAGGCGCTGCATGATGCCTGTGGGTTTCTCTCTAAATAAGAATAATAATAACAATTTCTCTCTAAATAATAATATAATTTAGTTTCTATTTGAATTCGACAATTTTGGATTCTTTGCTCCTATCATTTATTTTCTTTAATTTCACATTAATATGGGTTTAGAATAATTATTTTAGCAGTAAAATGTGTGAGAAACAAACTGACATCACATTCCCTATCTGGATTAAATTCCTGGTGGATTAAATTCAATAGAAACACAAGTCTGTCTTCACTAAATTCTCTTAAACCATATTACTTTATTTTAATTTTATTTTAATTAATTTTAAGCGCTTAACCCATGTGGGTCATTCAGCGCAAGACGCGGTGAAGGTTTGATCCTCCGTCTACTGAGCGCCTGACAGACGCGCTTCCTATTTGTACTCACCTATACTTTAAACCATATTACTGTTATCACAAGATATCAGTCATTAATAATTTATGAATATTCTTACACGAATCATTATTCACTAATGTTCCATACTTTTTCTGTATAATATCAAGTAATGTATGAATAAGCCAACAAGAGATTTAAAAAAAAAAAGTTGAAACAAGTCGTAGTATTATTACAATATTTGAGCTACAAGAGACAATCATGAAGATGAATACAAAACCCAAGTGTTGAAGAGTAGTAGCATCAGGTGCTGGGCGAAGATTCTGCCGTCAAATGATGAACGATTAAGTTGTTCGCCAGGGAAGGAAAATGAAGGTTTAAATTGTCGTAAGGAATATTTTTTTATGAAATAATATAAAGTAAAATCAAGATAAAAGTTTAAATCTTCAAAGAGCAATAGACAGTGACGTCTTATATAGACTTGACGAAGTTGATTCGTGAAATTAAATACACAGCCAATAAAATTAAGACATTCATCGAGAGGTTTATGTCTCTCAGTATACATGTTATATTACACTCAAAGTTAATGTTATATTACACTCAAAGTTAATGTTATATTACACTCAAAGTTAATGTTATATTACACTCAAAGTTAATGTTATATTACACTCAAAGTTAATTTCAATTAGTATTTTCAATAGGAATTTACAAGGAAAATAACTTAGTCGATCTTAACTAAAATAATCATCTGGAACAAGAGCTGTAGCTCAGCCAAATATGTAAGACCAATAGATAAAGTTGAAGACTGCAAAAATAGCCACAAGGCTGGACCTAGAGAACAGAATGAAGCCCCTGGCAGTGTTGAAGTTACGGAGGCTCCTGGAGGTGGTGTTGGGTGGCCGGCCGTCGACAGCAGCAGCAGCAGCAGCAGCAGCAGCAGCAGCAGGTGATACCTTGGTCAGTGGTGGGAGAGCAGAGGCTGTGTCGTCCACCAGTTTGTCAATAATGGTGTGGAAGATAATTATTATAAAGCTCATTACAATGCAGAAGAGGATCCACACGTCGACCATCTTGAAGTATGATGTCTTGGGCAGCGTCGCTGATGCCTTACGATGACACAGTCACGGTTAATTATAACAAAATAGAAATATGCAAAAGGATGCAATGAGCGAAGAGCTCAGCAGCAAAATAGAAAAAAAGTACAAAAAACAGTAAAAATAACCTGTATGATTAGGTACATTCAAGCAGTAAATAGAAAATATGAGGCATTACGTCAGTCCAGTATTGTGCAACAACAGCCAGGTGAACTATGTTGTCATAAGCACACCCCTCAAGGAAGGTTCCTTGATGCTGGTGAGGGGCTCTTGATCTAAGGAATTGGATCTGTTTTCCAGTTCCTTGAATTAAACCTGAATACCTTCCACATCCCCCCTCAGGTGCTGTATAATCCTACGGGTTTAGCGCTTCCCCTTGATTATAATAATTATAATCAAAAAGAAGCGCTAAACCACAAGGGCTATACAGCGCTGCAGGGCAGGAAGGAAGCGAGGGTATCAGGTGGCAAAAGGGAGATGGATGAGTAATAGGTTACGGGGAACAGCGGGGCAGTGGATGGTGAAAGGGTAGAGGGTAGCAAGAGATTAATATAGAAAGGGCTGAGGGGAGTGCGGAAGGTATCATCATCAGAGTTTGTGGAGTAAATCAGTCGTTGTCAAGAAGTCAATGAGAGAGTCAGGATTAAAGGAGGGTCCATCAGCAAGAAGGGAAGGTAAAGAGAGAGTAGTAGAGTGGAGACGACGTTGGAGGTAAATTCTACGTGCTCGTTGATAGAGAGGGCAGTCTAACAGAATGTGGCTAATCGATACTGGAACTTGACACTGCTCACAGAGAGGAACAGGGTGCCTCTCCATGAGATACCCGTGAGTAAGACGAGTGTGGCCAATGTGAAGATGGGAGAGAGTAGTCTCCCAACCTCGGCACTGATGACAAGAAGACGGCCAGCAACCTATGTTCAGTTTAATAGAATGAAGTTTGTTACCGAGTAGAGTTGACCAACGTTGTTGCCAACGGGTGTGAAGGTGGGTAGCTATTACAACAAAATAGTCCGGAAATGGAACACCTCTACATGAAATTGGTAGGTCATGTACTGCTGACCACACAGCAGTGTCTGCCTGTTCATTGCCCTGTACATCAACATGACCAGGGACCCAACAAAAAACAACATCTTTATGCTTGGTAGAGATACAGCGTAGCCAAAGTTGGATACGGAGAACTAGGGGGTGAGGTGTATCAAATTTCCTTATAGCCTGTAGAGCACTGAGGGAGTCTGAGACAATCACAAATGATGACACAGGCATAGATGCGATACGAATAAGTGCCGCAAGAATGGCATACAATTCAGCAGTAAAAGTGCTAGCCGAAGATAGTAAATGCCCCCGCACGACGCTGTCCGGAAACACTGCTGTGAATCCGACTCCGTCAGAAGATTTAGAGCCATCTGTGTACACGGCGATGGCATGAGAATGAGAGTGGAAGTGGTCAAGAAAAAGAGAGCGGGAAGCCACGTAGGCAGATTGGGCTTGGGCTTTCGAGCAAGGGAGTGAGAAAGAACAGACCCGAACAGTTGGAACTTCCCAATGGGGTAGGGAAAAGTGAGATACTACATGAACATGTAAAGGTGGTAACTGAAGGGAAGACAAGAGTGAATGTAGGCTAAGAGAGAAGGGACGGAGCAAACAAGGGCGGCAAACAAATAAAGAATGTCTACTATTATCAGTGACCATTCTATAAATGGAAGGATTGCGGAGATCGTGAGAGCGTACATAGCAGCGAAGGCAATGGGCATCACGGCGATCAGACAAGGATGGAACATTCACTTCTGCATAGAGGCTCTCAACAGGGAAGAGCGAAAAGCACCAAGGCATAAACATAATCCTTGGTGATGAATGGGATTAGGCTAGAGAGAGTAGCAGGAGAGGCCGCTGAATAGATCTGGTCACCATAATCGAGTTTCGATAAAATGAGGGCTGAATGTAGGCGAAGCAGAGTTCGACGATCAGCTCCCAATGAAAGATGAGCAAGGGTTTTAAGAAGGTTCAGCCGGCTGTGATAAGTTGCCTTCAGAGAGGTAATGTGGGGTTTCCAGGATAACATACGGTCAAAGAGAAGGCCTAGAAACCTGACTTATCATGTTCAGGGATACGGGAGCCATAGAGGTACAAAGGATAATTGGAGTTGACAGAGCGTCTAGTGAAAGTAATTTGGCGAGTTTTGGTACTGGAAAATTTAAACCCATGCATGGTGGCCCAATTGGAAACACAGTCAACCGCATGCTGGAGAGAAACTGTAATGAGGTGACAGCGCCTGCACAAGCAATAGCGAAGTCATCTACATAGAGTGATGACCAAATATTAGACAGAAGAACAGAGGCCAAGTCATTTATAGCAAGGAGAAAGTGTTGTGCTCAGAACACATCCCTGAGGGACACCTTCAGCTTGGACAAAGTCCGTGGAGAGCACATTATTGACTCGAACACGGAAATGTCTGTCAGTTAAAAAGTTCTTAAAGAAAGACGGTAGATTGCCTCGGAGGCCTAAGGCGTGGGCTTGGGCCAAAAATATTATACCTCCAAGTTGTGTCATATGCCTTCTCAAGGTCAAAAAATATGGCAATAACTGAGTGGTTATTTGCAATGGCATTACGAACATACGTATCCAAGCGTAGTAAGGGGTCTATGGTAGAACGGCCCTTACGAAAGCCATATTGACAAGTGGAGAGACTGTTGTGTGTCTCTAAATACCACATTAAACGTCTATTTACCAGATGTTCCATCACTTTACAAACTGCACTGGTAACGATGGGACGATAGTTGGAGGCTTCATGTCCCGTAGTACCCGGTTTGCGGAAAGGGAGAACAATGGCAGATTTCCACAGCTGTGGAAGAGCTCCTTGTGACCAAATAAGATTGAAAAGGCGTAAGAGGACTGCAAGAGCTGACTGATGAAAATGTAGTAACATATGAATATGAATGTCGTCGGGCCCAGCTGTCGATGATCGGCAAGCTGGGAGTGTTGCGTCCAGTTCCTGAAGTGTAAAAGGCACGTTATACTGTTCTTCTCTGAGAGAAGAAAAGTCCAACTGGTGCTAACTCTCTGGCAGATTTTGAGGAAAGAAACGAGGGGCATAGATGGAGCCCCAGAGAAATACGGACCAGATGACTGCCAATTTCAATGGCAACATCTAGAGGGTTTGCTATATCAACACTAGCAACCCGCAGATTATTATTATAATCAAGGGGGAAGCGCTAAACCCGGAGGATTATACAGCGCCTAGGGGGGGGGATGTGGAAGGCATTCAGGCTTAATTCGGGGAACTGGAGCACGGATCCAATTCCCTAAATCAAGAGCCCCTCACCAACATCAAGGAACCTTCCTTGAGGGGATCCTGCAACCCACAGAACAGGAGCCGGGTCAGGAGAATATTTACCACTCAGTTTCCGTACTGTACTCATAGAGGAAGCAGAGGTGATGGTGGAGACAATCTCGCCAGCAAGTGCGTTTAGCATCACGGATAACACGGCGAGCAATCACACGCTTCTGCTTAAAATCAAGAAGTCTCTCAGTGATTCTATTGTACCGGTACCTGCCCCACGCAGCGTGTTTCAAACGTACTGCACGAGCACAAGCAGGAGACCACCAAGGCACGCATTTCTGAGAATGCCTGCCCGAGGTTTGGGGTATAGAATGAGCAGCTGCGGTTAAAACTGAGGACGAGAAGAGGTGTAAAAACTCATCAATGGAGGACGAAGAAGGAACCTCACTAAAAACAGTTAGTTGTGAGTAAAGGTCCCAATTTGCCTGATCAAATTGCCAGCGTGGGTTACGAAGAGGTGGTGAATATGAAGGGGAAGTAAGAATGATTGGAAAATTATCGCTGTCATGTAAATCCGGGAGAACAGACCAGGTGAAGTCTAGTGCGGCGGAGGAAGAGCAGACTGAGAGATCGATGCAAGAGAAAGTATGAGTACGAGGATCAAAATGGGTGTGAGTACCTGTATTTAAAACATGGAGTGGGTGGGAAGCAAGAAAAGCCTCTAACTGAATGCCACGGGAATCACAGTGAGACCCCACCAGAGGAAATGATGGGCATTGAAATCGCCAAGAAACAGAAGTTGTGGCGGTAATGACGAAACAAGAAAGGCAATATCCGGGATAGATAATTCTCGAGAAGGAGAGAGATACAAAGAACAATGTGTATACCACCTATGCAGGTGGATACAGGCTGCTGTGTAATGCAGCGAAGCACGAACAAATAGCTGATGGTACGGAATATCAGTGCATAGAAGAAGGGCACTTTTATTAAAGGTCCCATCAGGAAAAGGATCTGAAGAATACAATAAATTATAGCCTGAGATGGGATAGATCACAGCAGAGTGTAATTTTGGTTCTTGTAAGCAAACACCAACAGGGAAAAATTGGGAGAGCAACGTCTGAAGCTCACCCCGATTACCCCTGAGGTCGCGTATAATCCACTGTAAATAGGCCATGATTGGCAATGATAAAGATACTAGAAATCTGCAGGTAAGGGTAATTACGGACTAGAGGAGTTAGAAAAGTCCACATGCAGTGGCAGCGGAAAACGTTCAAGCAGCGAAGAAACGGTGTGCTGTGAAGGAAGGAGTTGTGCAAATGGAGAAGAGGAAAGAGAAGGAACAGAGGGTGGATCAGTGTCCATTGATGGTTTGGTTTCTGCAATATATTCAGAGATTGCTTCAAGTGTTTCAGAGTTCAGAGACGTCTTATGGAAGACAATATTGGAGATGGAAGGAGGAGGAGTTTGAGTAAAGTTCAGAACTGTAATGGACTGTACCAAGGTAAGGGGGGGGGCGAAAGGGTGGAGGGAACTGGAGAAGTGTGGGAGGGGACAGAAGAGGCAGAAACCTGGGAGATGGCAGAAGAGGAAGAAACTTGGGAGGGGACAGGGGAGGAAGGTACAGTACGAGGAGGAGGATGAACCTCCACACTTGTAACAAAGCCAGTGAAAGGGGAAAACCCAGGTACAGAGACTGGGAAGGTAAAATGTGGAGGTGGATGAAGGGAAGGAGGGG